AGGCTCCTGGGCTGTCAGTAAGGGAGGCGGGGGGGAGAGGAGAGGGAGTTTCCAGCTGCTGAATGGCCAGAACTGGTGAGGGGGAGATGACACAAGGAATGGGGCCCCCTCACCTCATGTCCCTCCTCCCAGGTACCCTGATTGGGGCATTGGAGGGAGATGGGTCAGGCCTCTATGATGAGGTGGCTCCATTCCCTCCCCCTCGCCCTCAGGTCTGGCCATTCAGCAGCCAGGAATGGCCAGCATGGAGCTCCCAGATACTGAATGGCCAAAGCTGGTGGGGCAGGGTGGAACAGAGCCAGCCCTGATTTAACCACAACACAGCTTCCCCCAATACCTTAACAGAAGTAGTTGGGGGGGAGGCAGAGGGGCTGTGAGGTGAGGGGGCCCCATTCCCCACCTTCTCCTCCCCAGAGCTGGTCATTCAGCAGCCAGCAGCTCCCTCTCTTTCCCCCTGACATCCAGGGGGATGAGGCTGGGCATGTAAAAAAGTGTAACTGTGTAAAAAATTAACTGTGGAGGGAATACAAGTTCTGGTGCTCTGCTTTTGAGTGCCTTTATGTAATACCCGATTTAACCAGGTTTAATTTTTCATGCAATCAGCCATTTTAAAAGTGCTCAGCAGCTGTGCATGTGTGCTGTGACACAGCTGTAACATGGGGCTTTCAGGGACTGGATTACATCACTTCTGTCTGCACCCCTCTTGGCCTTTTACTTCAACTGGCCAGCTCTATGAATTTGGAGTAAAGATGGGGGCAAAGCACTTTTCCATTAACGTTTCTTAGAAATTCAGAAGATGACGTTTTTGATGGTAGTTCCTTCATGAACAAAAACAACACCAATGAAAGTGAGAGAAATTGAATTTAAAACCTAAAAATCCCATGCAAGATTTCTGCCTAAAGGAGGTACGCAATCTGCCTCTGTACAGGTTTGGAGGCAGAGTGGAGATTTTGTTCAGGGTTGGTCTTATCCCCCCTTTTCCTCTAGTTGCTCTTGTTGGGGAAAGTACCACGAGTAAGGACTATCAGACATGGAGAAAACAGAGGAATTGCGATTTCATTTTTGTCTACACAGATTCACTAATCTGTGCACTTTTGAATATGCTACAGGCTTGGTAATTCTTTCTGGGGAAAGTAAGAGAAAAGGCTAAGTGCGTGTTCTAATAAAACAGAACTCTAAATATCCTGCTGAAATCTGTCTTTTACTTAGCTTCAGATTAGGAAAATCTATAGCCCCTACAGAAATTTTTCCTATTCAAATCATGTGCTTCAGTTACAGCATTTCAATTTCATAAAGTTTGACATTACATTTTGTCAAAAAATATTCCCTTTGGCTCACCTGTAAATGGCAGATGCTGGATACAATCCTGTGTCATAACTGACCCTCACTCGACCACGGTACAATTCCATTGCTATGTGATCTTTGTCACCTTTGTACAGAAGGATGCCACTGTCTTCATCTGTAGCAATCTGATGAAAAAGTAAATGCATCTAAACATAAATGTGTATTCCAAATAAAACTAAAATGTAAAATGAATTCCATGCTCAGTTGCATCCTTATTAGTAATACTTCTTTTTTTCTTCTAAAACTCTTAATTATGGGTGATGATTTTTTTTTCTACCAGTAATTAAATCAGTTGTAAAGATAATAGAAATTTCTCTAAATGGCTCTATGAGCTCTCTGTAGAGAAGGTCTAAAGATCAAGTGACCTAATACAAACTTTTGTTTTACTTATTTTTGTATATAATAACTTTGATCCAAGCTAACTTGCACTTGTGTACAGAAAAGAAAATAACAAAAACTCCAGTTCAGTAAGAGCTATTGTACTCCATCTTACCTGCAGCGTGATATTGGTCTGGGGATGGATCTTGGCTGAAGGAATTTGCAGGTAGGATTCTTTGTTCACAAAGTTTATGCTGACCAGCTTTTCACATTTCTCTCCCTGATAACCTGACAAACACTGACAAATTGGTTCATTTCCTTTTATGATGCACTGGGCTCCATTCTGACACTCATAATTATCACAAGGACTGGTGCGAGGTAGAACCATTGGTGGTGAAAACTCACAAAAGAGGCCACTAAAGATAAATATAAAAGCCAGTACTTTAGAGGAAATCATCTCTAGCCTGAGAAGCATAGATAAACTGGTCCTCTTTCAAGTGTCTCTCACCTGTATCCTTCTGGGCATATACAAGTATATCCATTTACTGCATCAGTGCACTGGGCTCCATTTTTACACTTGTTATCTTGGCAGTCATCAAAGTCAATATCACAATGCTCACCTATATATCCAGGTGTGCAGTCACATCTATTAAACAGGAAAACACAATTGTTGTCTCTATGCCTCTTTTAATAAAACAACGCGCTTAAGAAATGCCAAAGAATTAATATATTTTTAACTACTTACTACATGCATCTCCAGTTAGTGGAAAAGATAAAAGATCTCTTTTTCTTTATTTTCAAGTTACAGTTCAATAGAAATGTGGTATTAAAACATAACTTTAGTGAGGTGTTGAAAAACTACATATATGATTAATCACTTTACATGTAGACTCTGGTGTGGTAATGAATATAGGTTTGCCTCTTACATTGTGCTCACTGATTTTCTGATATTATATCAAATATTCATTGTTTAAATCCTGAGGCCACCCTGAATCACTCTGAAAGTTCTCTTTGGAATTTATGAGTAATGTACACTCACTACCAATAAGCAAATATGTTGATCCAGGTTAGTGGGTCAGGACAAATCGTATTTTGTATTTGTAGTCAAGTGTAGTATATTGTTTGTGTGTTAGTGCATAATAATAAATGGAACAACTCTGTACTGTGAGAGTGATCAAAAGAAACTGTTTTTTCACTTAAATTTCAACTAACAAAATTGAAAAGAAACAGCTTAGTATCCTATGAACTTACTCTGGTCTCACTATGATTATCCTTTATTTTATAGCAACAAACTCCTCCCCCATCAAATATCACTGATTTAAAAGTGGTTAACAGCAGTTCTTTGTCCATGCAATATTAATCCCTAATGTTAATGAGATTTCTCCAAGGAAAACTGAATATGCTAAATTGAGAGAAAACTAAGAATGATCTGAAAAATCAAAGCGAAAAAATTACAATACATACTTCCACCAAAGCTCCTTTCTAAAACTTAATTTTACATTTTTTTTTACTGTTAAAGTCCTTATTAACTCCATCAGATCTAGTGATCACATTAGTGATTTTGCTGATAGTCTCAGACTTTTACTGCCTAAAAGTCACTTGAAAGCACAAAGTATAAATTTAAATATCTACATAACTTTTTAAGCACATGGATAAAATGTTTCTTCTTTTTTGTCAAACAAAAGTGATGAATAAATGATGGGACAAAAACAATATATAGCACTATTAAAACGCTAAAAAGCTGAGTAAGTGAGATCATGCATGCGCAGCTAGTGCATGTATCATTTTCTGATTTAAAATCTCAAAATGTAATATGAAAGATTTATGAACTATGCAGTAAAATACAATGAACAATACTAGTTTTATTGATATAGCAATAAGAAAATCAATATGGTACACAACAATTTTAATCAAAACAACTCTAGTAGCATGCTTCTGTTTAAACTATCAGATTTTCTGTATGTACTTTTGAATATTTTCAAATAAAGTGTGCCACTTGTAAAATAAACTATCATGTAAAAGGTAGGAGGGTGGCAATTTTAATACTATAAGCTAATTTTGGCACAATAAATACAGCATACAAAATAGGTGCTCATGAACGTTAGTGGAAAGCAGTACATTTCTTAAATTTACTAATCTAAATTCTATTAGAAGCACTTTTTAAAGCATACATGGTAATTAACCATAATAAGGATGTCATGTAATTAAAGGTTAGTCTTCCTGGTGATGAACTTCCTTACTTTATAATGTGTTTTACAAATAACCTGTTTTGCAATTACTACACACAGAGCAGTACAATAATCCCATTTTAATTTAACTTCATTATTCTTTTCATAGTCCTGATTACCAAAAGGATTGTGTATTATCACAGAAAATAATGAAAATTATTTATTCTTCATTGTTTCAATTTAATCTACACTGCTAAGGGCATTGCTAAAGACTTCCAGATTCAATAGAAAATCTGTATCTTAATACATAGGTCTACATGAAAACAAATGTGTCTGTTCAGTCCCTTGTATATATTTACATATACTATGACTATTCATTTACTTGCACTGAAAACAACAAAGAAATTGAACAGGATAAGAGAATGACAAAAATATAGTCTTTGTTGTACTATGACAACAGTTTAGGCTTACTTGTATCCCTTGGATGTCAAGATGCACTTTGATTCATGTTGACAAGGGTTCAGGTCTTGGGCACAGAAATCTAATTTCTCTTCACACAGCTCACCTGCAACACAATATACATTGTCAACTCAGTGAGAATACTGCAGGCCCTTGACAATGGTTGGCTTGATTTCAGCTCTTATTACAGTCAAACAGCCTCTGTGATTTTAACTTTTAACATCTAAATACATTCTATAACTGAATAGTAATAAATTAATATTGCTGCACGTTCTGATTTTTTTCTGCTATTCTTAGGAAAACAGCTTCCCCAGTTCAAAGTCACTCACTTATCAAGCAATATACACATTATTTCTTACATTTAAAAATGTTTTCCATTTCAAAATAAACAGCTAGTTGCAGTACAGTGTTTAGGGGCCCATAAGGGAGGCCCTGAGTTAGCAAGGGTGCCCCTTGCCTTTTGCTCCAGTTAGCAAGAAGGACAGAGTAATCACAGAAGCAGTAGCAGTGGATACTAAAGGGAAGAAAAGGGAACAAGTCAGGGGATTCTAAAAATCCATCACTACTGAGGAAGTGCTCCTTTGCTGCAAGAATGTGGAGAAGCTGGTATACTACTCTGATCCCCAGTTCTCCATTTGTGTGCTTATTGTCTCTTTCCCATCGCGTCTCCTGGGTGCAACAAGCTTCAGAAACAGCCCATATAGAAAGGCAACTGCCAGAAGACTATAATGGCTTATGACTCTTTCTGTAATTGTTAATGGATGTATACATTGAAGAAGAAGGAGAGAGAACCAACAGGACTGGAACACGAGACAAGGAGAAGAGCAGAACACACATATGGCTTAGTCTCACAGCAAGAGTGTCTGTCTCTGACAATATGAAAGGCTGTATATCAAGAACATTAGACCTAATTTTACCTGCTACCCTAGTCTCTGCTTGGTGAAGTTAAATATTAACAGAGTTGTTCTCTAAATTGAAAGGAAAACTAAACTATTAAAAAAATTAAGCAGCAGCTCACAGATTAACAGCAAGTGAAAATTAAAGAACGGCCAACATTTTTTTGCTGTTCAAAAGAAAGCATACATGACTAGCCAAGTGGAAAAAAAGAAGCACATCACCAGCTTGTAAACTGCTCAACCATCTGTTGTTAAAGAGCTTGCTTTTTTCAATTCAAGATTAACAACTTTTTATTAAAATACCACCCCAACTGAGGTGTTAGTAGTATTCACCTTGGAGTACTGGGTTAATAGCTAAGAAAATTCATACACATAATGTTCAATACATAGCTGTGCAAATCCAGACCTAGCCATTAGAAAATTCATGTCAACAAGTTCCAGACAGATGCTATACAAAGGTTTCCAAAGAACACTGGCACTGCACTACCAGTCAGCTAATACTACCCTTTTCCTGTAGAACTGCAATGTCTTAACCAGACAGACCATCCATGCCACAGAGTCCAGACAAAATGTGCTATGAGTTAATAATTCAGTGACCATTAGGCACAGACTGGTCAACTGTCCTCTGGGAAATCATCAGTAATATTATTTAGTCAACAAATGATGGTAACTGAACATAGTTCAAACACAGCATTTCAGCATTGAAACAAAACCAAAAACAGATCCCTTTTCCCCCCCGAAGGAGTGGTGATGAGATAAACAAACGGCAAAAGGAAGCAATTTTTCATACAACATATGGCCAACATATAGTGGGTGCATCTACACAAAAAGCTGACTGCACAGTAGCCCAATAACATACTCAGTAGCATGCCGGTCAAAAACTGTGTTAATACACTATTGCACAGTTATTAGGCTACTTCACAGTAAGTATCACAAAAAAATGTGCAGTGGAGCTACTGCGCAGACACTTCCTTAGCCTGACGAAGGGTATTTGTACTTGAAAGCTCGCAAAGAAGAATTTTCCAACTATTTGGGCTGGTCTAATGAAAGATAGCATTTTTACCCAAAGAACTTTATCTTCTTATGTCCTTAGACCAACACAGCCACACCTTATACCCCTGAAATATACTTCCTACTTTCAGAACTACTTCAATAGCAAAACGTCATGATGCATAGATAAAAGCTGAACTAGCACTGACATACAATAATCATTGTCTGCTTTACTGAACCTATACTAGTTCTTATGGGCAGATTGTACTCCAACTGGTTTTATCACTAACATTGACATGCAAAATTTCCTGTCAAATGTGCTACGCATTAGTTAACTCTGTGGAAGCCTCCTGGTATTCCTAGTTCTGATATATAGTATATTGAGCTGGAGGGAGGATTGCCGGGGGGCATTGAGGGATGCCACTAGGTTTACAGTACCATAGAAATTATACAAAAATAGGCGTGCAATTGTTCCAAAGGGGTCATTTTACCCGAACCTCTCCTTAAATTGGGATCATCCTTGTCTAAATTGCTCGATATTAGACAAGGATCCAACTCACTTCCATATCGGGAAAACTGAAATGTCCATAAAGCCATATCTGCCAACTGCAAAATATAAAATCAACACAACTTTTCTAGCAAATTCAGCCAACTGCTTCCATATTGTGTGGAGACATTAACAACCATATCTGAGAGCCTTTGGAAGCTTTGCAAAAATTATAGATGTTTTGCTGGTGGGGATATCAACCTTTGCCCAGCCAAACTATATTCTAAATCTGGTTGACTTAAAGGGATGACACCTTGGGAGCTTGAAAAGAGGAAGAATTGCCTTGCATTTTGCAATTAAACAAAACAAAATAAATCCCTCTTTTGACTAAACTGCAAAATTTTATTCAATAAATTTTATTAAATAAAGCAGGAAGTCCACCCATGGAGGAAACATTCAATTCAACAATTCTTTAAAGCATCGCCAGGAAGGGAAATACTGGATAACAGCAAAAAAATGAGAAGTCATGTGGCCAGAATAGTAAAGCAGGTCAGTAAAGAACTTATGAACAAAGTCTGGTTTAGGGTAAACAGTGCGTGTCTGGTAAATGAAGCAGCACTCACAAAGGATTTCCAAACAAATGAAGCTAATTATGGCCAAATTTTCAAAAAAATCCCAGCTTGGCCTCCAAACCTTGCACACCTGATGCTCTATTTGTGCATGGATGTATATAATGGCAGGGGGCAGGGAGGAAGGTGAGCGAAGTGGAAGTAAAAATAAATAGAGATGCACAGGGGCTTTAATTGCTTGCACAGCGTCACCAGTGTTTTTGAAGCAGCATGCTGCAGGGACTCACAATACAACTGTCCTAAATTTAGCACTACTCTCTTTAGATAGAAGAATTTTCAGAATCTAACTGGTGAAACAAGATGCACTTTTAACATATTAAATTGAAAAAAAGAAAAATAAATACAATGTAACCATTTTTAATTAAATTAATAAGTGATGAAAATGAAACTCTTATATAAATAAATGACAGACTTGCAAAGGTATACCGTTATGCTTTTTAGTTTTACTGAGAAGGAGAAAAAAGTTGGAGAGCTACCTGAAAGCCTGGGGTTGCAGCGTGTTTAAACAGAGCAGAAGCATAATGTAACTCCCATAAAAAGAACTGTAAAAAATACACCGATGTATTTCCATTGATGTAGTTTTCCACAGTTATTTGGGACAATTATTACCACCTTTCCTACAGCCGACTGCAGCAGTGACCTGGGATAATGAGTCATCTGTCTACACTGGATTCCAATGCATTTTTCTTTGGTATATAAAAGCATTATAACTATGACAGTGTTGATAACTTATATATTAGAACTATGCAAAATGGCTATGTTTCATTTCAGTTTCAGAGGACAGTGTTTCATTTTGGTGTTTTGGATCACTGTTCTGTTTCTATCTGGCCAAATCTGTTTCAGGGATGATTTGGAGATTCAGATCAGGCAGGGAGAGGCAGGCACAGCAGGGCAACTCCTCTGGCTGTGCCTGCCTCTCCCCAGGCAGGGGGAACCATGGGAGAAGCCCCCACGGCTGCCCTGCCCAGCCCCATCTCCCACTCAGCCCCAGCCTCCTGGCACTTTAAAAGCAGGGCTCTGCCAGACCCCTCCCAGGGGATGTGGGCCCCCGGATCTGTACGTGGGATGACAGCAGGCTGCCACTGCCAGCTGGTGCCAGCACCAGCACTGGGTTCTTTCCTGCGCTCGGCATATACGATACCAAGCAGACTCAGGTGCAGGTACTAGCCCCAGCCAGCAGTAACACCATATGCAGATCCAGGGGCCCACACCCGCTAGGGGTACTGCAGGGCTGTGCCAGACTCCTCCTGGAGGATGTAGGCCCCCAGATCTGTGTCTGGGATGACAGCAGGCTGCCATCCCTCCCCCAGAGCACTGGGACTGAAAAGGACTTCAGGGACAGATCCCAGATGCAGGTTAGCTACAGATGTCAATATCAGAGGAGTCCTTCCCCGCTCCAACCCTTCCCCCTCCATCTTTTGAGTTTCTGTTTCCCCACAAGCCTGCCTCCAAAACATTCTGAAACCTCCAAAACATTTCTGAAACATTTTGGATGGTTTCATTTTGGATGTTTTGGAGCCTTCCATTTTGTTTTGGATTCAGTGTTTTGGGCGCTGAAACAGGCCAAAACGAAACAGCTGCTGAAATTTTGCACAGCCCTAATATTCATGCTTTAATTTAGGGATTTTATTTGAAGATTTTTTCTGTCATGCTTCTTGATAAAGGAGAATGCTTGTGAATGCAGCATTCACCACCTTATTTAACAATGTTTCATATAAATTCTTTATATGAACATTCATTTATACATGGAATAGAATCGGAACTTAGGCTTTTGGAAGTTCACCGCTAAGAATCTTTAGAGTCTTGAGTGAGGGACAGAAGTTACACATCAACTAGTTTAAGTGATCAGAAACTGATTTAAACCTGTAACAGAACAGAAGTTCAGTGCATATAAACCAGTTTCAAAATGGCTGAAACTGGTTTATGATAAACCAGGTTGAATGTAGTATCAGACAGAACTGACTTGGGTCAAACTGGTTTATGAAATTTGTCCCAGACCCGTTCACAGTTCAAGTTAAATCACAGTCCCCCAGCATCCCAGCATACTTTCCAGACCTGGGGTGGGTTGTGCTGTCTGCTCCAGAGAGCAGGGCTGGCACTATCC